ATTGATCCTTCAAATTTAACTTTATTTTTCACTGATCACTTTGAATCACCCATGAATGTTTCAAAGGGATACATCCACCTGTATTGAACAGGGCCACCAATATAGGCTTCATATGCAAGATGCACAGGTATATGCTCCATAGAGTCGAAAAAACCAGGTGGAAAAACTCATTCCAACTTGCATAGAATAACTGGAATATTTTGGTCCAACTTAATGATGCTATCGACTCTTAAATTTGACGCACAAATATCTCTGAAAAATTGACTTATTTTAATTAGCGGATATAACACATGGTTGGGTAGTTAACTGAACGCAATTAGAAGCAATCGTTCCATGAAAACATGAAAATCATGAATTTTCATTCCATGCAACTTCCCAGCTTTGGTGCCAACACACCTTGCTAAATTTGAAACATAACCATCGGGCATTCTCAATTCATTTAACCATCGACAAACCGCTTTAGCATCTTGGGAAGTTAGACTATAACAAGCCTTGGGTTTTAATAATTTTCCATTAGGCCGAGACTTCAACTCCAAGTCTTTTCTATCACACAAAATTTCCATGTCCCTTCTAGCCTTCTCATTATCTTTTGTTTTTCCTTGAACATCCATCACTGTGTTAAGTATATTATCAAAAAAATTATTTTCAATATGCATAGCATCAAGATTATGTTGCAACAAATTATCTTTCCAATATGGGAGGTCCAAAAATATACTTTTTTTTGTCCAATTGTGTTTGACCCCATATCCTTGAATTTTACATGCTTCACCATAATCTGTGAATTTTGGCAGTTCAGAAACTTGATTCCATATTTCCTCTGGTGACAATCGAGGGGGAGGCAAATCTCTTACTCGTACATATTTTTTGAAATCAGTCTTGTTTCTTCTAAAGACATGGTCTCGTGGTAGGAACCTGCGGTAATAGTCGAACCACGAACTCCCCCCCCCCCCAAATTCCAAAGTAAAATCCTTTGTAAATTCCATGCAATGTGGACATCCCATTTTGCCATGCGCACCCCAACCAGATAACATTCCATACGCGGGAAATTCATTAATAGTCCACATCAAGGCAACTCGCAAAGTAAAGTTTTGTTTGCGAGATATATCATAAGTCCATTCTCCAATCCACAACCTCTTCAAATCATCTATTAAAGGTTGTAAATAAACATTGATTTTGGCTTTAGGACTTGACGATCCTGGAATGAGACAAGTCAAAAACATGTATGATTTTGTCATGCACATCTCTAGAGGGAGGTTGTAAGGGTTACGATAACTGGGCAACAGGAATATGCAATTGCGGATGCTTGGACATATGGAGTAAAACTATTAGAACATAATCTGAGCCTGACATTTCTAGGTTCTGCAGCAAAATCAAAATGTACCCTATCAAAATGTTTCCATGCCTCACCATCAGATGGATGTCGCATAATGCCTGAACTTGTTTTGTTTGTATGATGCCATGTCATTTGACTTGCACTGTGCATTAAAGCAAACAATCTTTTTAACCTTGGTATTATCGGCAAATAAAACATGGACTTCACTGCTACACGTTTTTTTTTTACGGTTAATGGCTTTACTACGAACTTGATATCTCAGACTCTTACATAACTTACATTCCTCCAGCGCCTCATCATTAATATCAAACTCATTGTCATAAAACAACATGCACCCATTTATGCAACAATCAATCTTTCGTACTTCTAAATCCAACTTCGACACCAACCTCTTTGTATCATAATAACTTGTAGGCATGTTGTCTTTTGTAGGAGTCACATCCAACATCATTTTTGCAAAGTATTCCAAGCCCTGACCAGGAACATTCCAATTTGACTTTGCGGCCAATAATCTCACACACATTGATAATTTTGAATCTGTCGATCCCTCAAACGACGGTGTATTCATTTCTTTCAAAAATTGGTAAAATCTTTGTGCTTCCTCATTCGGTAGCTCTTCACCATCAAAATCTTGAGGTTCATCATATGTCACATTTACTCCAAAGGCATTGCCAACCATATCATCGATCAGATTAAATTGTTCCTCAAATTCCATATATGATCGACTGCTTGATGTGTGTGTATTAGTTGTCTCTGCATGTACGTTACTCGGTAGTTGTTCTTTATTATATGTCCAAACCCAATAATTTTTAATGAAATTATTTCTCTTCAAATGACGTTCTACTTCCTCTGGGTCACTAATTATAGGTCTACATTCACATTTAAGATAAGGACATCTTACTCCTCCTTCATGTCGACAACATTCTTGAGCAAATGCCCACGTGATAAACCCTCTAACTCCTTCCATAAAATTTAGTGTAAGTCTACGTCTGCCTGGTAACGTCCTATCGTACATCCAACTACGATAGTAACGAAAATATTTCATACTACACATTTGTACTTTCATTATATATCATTTTAATTAAATATGTGATTTTAATATATGCAAAATAATATAATTCTTTTCACATTGTTTTAACCTAATATAAATAAAAATATTACTTCACATTACTTCATATTAACCTAATATAAATAAACTTAATTATACATTTTAACCTAATACATATTAACCTAATATAAATAAACTTAATTATACATTTTAACCGAATACATATTAACCTAATTATACATTTTAACCTAATACAAATAAACTTAATATTAATTATTTTTGAATTAATATTTTTTCTATTTGTTTTAAAATTTCATTTATTAAAAAGTTATTTTACAAATTATGTTTGTTTTAAATTCTATTTTTTCTATTTATTTTATAATTTTGGTTTTTAAAAAATTATTTTATAAATTATTTTTGATTTAATTCTATTTTTTAAAATAAATTTGTTTTATAAATTGTGTTTTTAACAAATCTACCTAACATATTAATATAACTTTTCCATATTAGTTATATACTTTTTTTTACAAGTAATTTTTTTAAAAAAATACTTTTTAATAAAAATACTTCTATTTAATAATTGAGTTTAATAAAAATACTTTTTTTTTTAAAAATAATTTTACAATTCTGTTTAACAAAAATATTTTTAAAAATATATTTTTTCTAATTTTTTTATAATTTCTGTTTATAAACAACAAAAATATAGAAAGTTATGTTTTTTTAAACTATAAATTCTGTTTTTTTATTCTTTTTTTTGAAATATAAAAAATAACTTATGAAATATAGTAAATATAAAATATAACTTATAAAATATAATATATATTCTGTTTTTAATTAAAAAAACATATTTAAAAAAATTCTATTTTTACATAACAACAACAACCAAACAACCAAATAAATAATCTTATAAAATCTAAATAATTTCATATATAATCAATAAATTCTATTTTTACGCAACAACATACATATACAATATTTGGTTTCTCTCCATAATCTGTGAATTTTGGCAGTTCAGAACTATATTCTAAAAAATAAACCATTATGAGGAAGACATAAATCATACATTTGATTTAAAATGAAAAGCTTGTTAAAAATGGTATGGTGAGATGAACTTCAAGGAAGAAGAAGAGAGAAAATATAAGGAGAGAAACTGGAAAGTTTTAATTTTTGTGTTGCGACGTGGGATTCACGTCACAACTATATTCTAAAAAATAAACCAGCACTCTCACTTTACTGACTCCCGAATCCTAGTGTCTCTCCTTTATCTTTATGTTTTATCATTATTTCTCTGTTTCTTAGGAACGAATAAAGGGTGATGGCGACTCTATAATTTTTCAGTTATGACATAAAAGAAGTCTCTTGCTTGTAGGCTTGAGTATTTGTAGTCGATATTGGTTATAGTGCTTTTACTTAACTTGCTTCTAATATTATACTGCAGGCGATGGCGATGTTCCTAAACCTGAAATCCTCAAATACCTGGGGTGAATCAACGTCGAGCATAACGAGTAATAATAGTTAGGGAGTTTGGAATCGATGGCATGTATGACCGACTCGGTCATAGTTAATGTTTAAAATATTATAGTAAGTAATCATATTTCAATATTATAATTTTTTATTCATTTTTTATATAATTTACTATTTTAATTTAAAAATATTATTAGACTCATACACCTCTGCATTCCTAATTTTTTAAAATGAATTATTTTAGAAATTAGTCAGAAAAATTGATTATTTAAAAAATATTTTAAAAATGTTGGTTATTTAAATAAATAATTGTTGTTACAAGATAAAGAGTAGAGCCTGTTCATTCTAAAACTTTTTATTTAATCAAATCAATAATAGTATTTCAAAACACATTTAAGTAGATATATACCAAGGTTAACTTTGCCAAACATAATAATTAAAAAATTAAATTTTTTAAGTTGCATTTCATATTATGAAATAAATAAATATTTTAAAATTTGACATAATTTTTGTATAATGCCTCAAGTCTTATTCAATCGTAATCATTTACAAGAAAGTTATATCCAATCCCACATTTTCTATATTATTTTTTCTCAATTCAGCTGATTGACCCTAAGATACTTATTTCCATAAATTAAAATTTGTAATAGTAACATTTTGATCGAATCATAGAGTACAATTATACTAATGAGCACATAATACATTACATCTGTATACTTAACATATATATTTTCCTCCCTTTTGTATATATAACCATTTGTCATTGAAAAAAATCAATCTCAATTATCATAATTTATTTCAGTTTTCAATATATATATATATATATATATATATATATATATATATATATATATATATATATATATATATATATATATATATATATATATATATATATAATACTAATATATTAAAAGATATAAATCACGAAAAACAAAATTATATAAGAGAAAAAAGAATATACACATAAAAAGGAATATTATAATTTTATTGATGGTATAAAACTATTTTGGTGTTCAATTTTAATCTCATTATATAAATGACAAAAATATTATTAAATTTGGCATTATATCATTATCAAGGATTTCGAAATTGACAATTATTGTAATTATTCAAAAACAAAAATACAAACTAAACCTAGTAATACCTAGTAATCTATTTGTGTAACAATAAATTTGTGATAATAAGACTAATCTGAGAAACTTGGTAGACAGTATCAGCACTCTTTGGAAGATCAGAAGTATCTGGAGGTGATTGATCGCTAAGACAGTCATCAACATTAGTCATAACAGCACTCATACGTATATTCACACCATTGTAATCAAGAGCTTTCAAGAGCTGTATAGCTTCCAAAATATTACCAAGAGCTTGTTCCTCATCAAAATACTCCAAACAATTCTTGTAATGAGTTTGCAGTTTAGGATCAACACCACTTTTTCCGATTAGGGTTTGGAGTAGACTGACCGTATTGGACACATCGGTGCGAGCCACGTCGAGGGTGTATTGCGCCACGCTATCGAGGTCTCCGCCGGCTTTCGGGGTGAGAAGATTTGTACAGAATGAAGGGTTTTTGGCTTTCTGGCAAATGGCATTAACATCAACAGCTGCATTGGAGGATGCAAGGTAGGAAAGAAAGATAATAGTTAAGATTGATAAACGAGCCATGTTGTATGTTGTATTATTTTCTTTGTATAGTTTGGTGATTTTCTTTGTGTCACTCTTTGTGGCTTTATATAGATCTCGTTCCACAATATAATTTGATTTTGTTTTTAAAGACTAATAAATTATTTTAGGTAAGGTATTATAGGGTTTCCTTATTGAGTTTGATATACTTATTAAAATTCAAAATGAATCTTTGAATATCTGGTAAGTTAAATTCCAATCATGCAAATAGTTTGCAAATTCAAAGCATTGAAGTCTGTTTATTTTGCTTTTTAAAATGATTTTTATACTGTTATGTATTTTTTTGTTTTATAAAATTTATAAAACTTTATTTAAATAATATTAATTTATGTATTTTATCATTTAATTATAACTTTTTGTAAATATTATAATTTAAAAAAATCACTTAAATTTGAATATATTTTAAATATCCTTTTATAAAAATTAATTTTCAGATGCCTCTTTTAAAAAAAATTATGTAATTTTTATTATACTTTAATCTTCAATAATTAAATTCATGTCACTAAATATTAAAATTAATTTTTTAATTTATTGTGAGTTTAAAAAATTATTATTTATAAAAAGGTTTTAATAAAAATTATTTTTTAAAAACAAATTTTTAGGATAAAACAAATGTGTCTTTAATTTCATGAATAAAATAATATAAACAAATTTTATTGTACTAATTAATGATATTCTCAGTTTCCGATTTTCTAACTGATTGTGAATTTGTGATTTCCTATATACAGATCATGATTTTTTCTTTCTATTCTCAATTCTATAAAGTGTTACTGTTTTCGTTAAATTTTGTAACGGTTTTTTTCTTCTTTCTATTTTCAATATCACGTGTGTGATTATGTTTTTCTAGAAACAAAATCTTTCTTTTTATTCTCATTTCACAAAATGCGTGAATGTAATTTTCAAATGTTTTAAAAATCGAATCGAATTGGCCGGTTGATAATTTTTAAAAAATTTTAATATATTAATATCAAAACTTTTATAATAAAGCGACAAAACATAAAAAATTGTATGATTGTAATTTTTTAGTTTGATCAAAATATTCGTAAATGATGATTGAAATGAAGTGTAAAACTATGTTATATTATGTATTATTGATATTATTGTATTAAATTTATAATGGACTTTTGAAATATTTATTTTATTAATTTGAGAATATATAATTGTTGGATGTTATATAAGTCAAATTCAATGTAATTATGATTAGAAGCTATTTGGAAAAGTCGTCTGAATGCTGCAGGAAAAACCAGAAAAATACTTTTGTTTTTTTAGGCTGTTTTTGTTTAGCTTTTATTTGTTACTTTGTTTAGTGTTAGTAGACACTATATATACATTTTGTAACATGTTGAATGAGTTAATGCCATATGAGTTTTTTACCCTCTCAATTAATCTCTATTCTCTCTAAACTTCATCTTCCTCAATCCTCCAATTTCACCAAAATTATCCATCACCTCCATTGATTCACATACAAGCTTTTGTGCTTGTTCCAACATTTGGCATCAAGAGCATTGGTTCCGATCCTATTCCGCTGAAATGTCCGTTTCAAACGACAAGATCCCCACCAATCTTCTCATTCTTGATTCAAAGAACTACAACAAATGGTGCAAACAAATGAAAGTTTTGTTTGGCTACCAAGACGTGCTCGATGTGATTACTACCGGTGTTACCCCTCTTGTTGAAGAGGCTATAGCTGCCTAACAAGCCACTCACAAAGAAGAGAAGAAGAAAGACTACAAGGCTCTCTTCTTGATACATTCTTGCGTCGATGAAGACAACTTTGAAAAGGTTGGTGATTGTGACTCGGCGAAGAAAGCTTGGGATATACTCGAGAAGGCATATGCGGGAGTTGACAAAGCGAAGGTGGTGAGGTTACAAACTCACAAGAGGCAGTTTGAATTACTCCAAAATGGAAGAGAAGGAAACGTTCAACAATTACATAACGTGTGTGACGCGTTTGGTGAATCAAATGAAGGCTTGCGGTGAGTCGGTTTCGGAGGAAAACATTGTGTCGAAGGTGTTGCGTTCTTTAACGGTAAGATTCGATAAAATTGTTGTTGCGATTAAAGAATCGAAGGATCTCAAGACCATGACGAAGGATGAACTACAAAGTTTATTCGAAGCTCATGAACAAAGGATGGATGAAAGAGGAAACGATAAGGCAAAAGTAGAAGTGGCTTTGCAAGCTCGTTTCAATGAGAAGAATAAGAGATCGAAAGGGAAATGGTCTTCTAGAGATAAGAAGAATTTCCAGAATTTTGGTGGAAACGATCCACAAAATTCAAGAGGACAAAGAGGAGAAGGAAACTCCAAGGATGGTAGTCAAGGAAACTACAAGCCGCTCGACAAAAGTACCAAGAGATGTTACAATTGTCAAAAGCTTGAACATTTCTCAAGAGATTTTCGTTTCAAGCGCAAGGAGAGTGATGCGGATGAAGCGAAGGTTTCTAGGCAAAAAGTGGATGATGATAGCACACTTCTTGTGGTGATTATGGAGGAGAATAATGGCATGGACAGCAGTAGAAAGTTGTTGGACAACAACTACTGCAGTGCAGAAAAACTGCAGAAAATGCGTTCGGAGAAAAACGCATTAGTAACGGTTCGAGATAGAGTTCAAGGTAGTAATGAGTGGTACTTAGATTCTGGTTGTTTGACACATATGACGGGTAGAAAAGATTGGTTCGTGAAGACCAATCAAGCCACGCGAAGTAGAGTGAGATTCGCGGATAATACGACTTTGGCGGTCGACGGTGTCAGTGATGCCTTGATCATGAGGAGGGATGGTGGTCATTCCTTGATCAAGGACGTTTTGTACATTCCTAGAATTAAGTGTAACCTTTTAAACATTGGCCAATTACTTGAAAGGAATTACACAATTCGCATGGAAAACAAAGTATTGCGCGTTTTGGACCAAAATGGAGTTTTGATTCTTAAGGCTCCTATGGCTGCCAATAGAACTTTCAAGATTGAGTTGAAAGTTATGGAGCATAGGTGCTTAGCTACTGCTGCAAGTCGTGAGGAATGGTTATGGCACTACCGTCTCGGTCATCTCAACTTTCGTGATCTCGACGCATTACAAAGACATGGTATGGTGTCCGGGCTGTCAAGGATTAATATTCCAGCTGAAATATGTGAAGAGGGTGTTCATGGGAAGAAACGCAAGAGTAATTTCAGCAAGGATGCGGGTCATAGGATCAAGCATCACCTTGAGGTGGTGTATTCCGATGTATGCGGACCGATGCGAGTCAATTCCTACGGTGGCAATCGATATTTTGTCAGGTTTATTGATGACATTAGTAGGAAGTTATAGATTTACCTCATTAAGAGGAAGGATGAGGTGTTTGAAGTGTTCAAATGGTTTAAGTCAATGGTTGAACGCAATGCGGTAAAAAGCTCAAAACTCTCAAAACGGACGGTGGTGGTGAATTCACATCCGATGAGTTTATGAGCTATTGCAATGATGAGGGGATAATCCATGAGGTGGTGCCTCCCTACAGACCACAACAAAATGGCATTGCGGAGAGAAAAAATTGGACAATCATGAACATGGTACGAACTATGTTAAAAGGCAAAAATTTACCGAAAGAGCTTTGGGGTGAAGCGGTATCTACAGCTTCCTATTTCTTGAATAGGTGTCCGACAAAGAAGCTGGAAAAGATAACTTCATAAGAGGTACGGTCCGAATTCAAACCGAGTTTGAGCCACTTGCCCGTTTTTGGTTCGGTTGCGTTTCGACACATTCCGGGACAGCTTAGAAAGAAGCTTGATGATAAGAGTGAGAAGTTGTTACTTGTTGGATATCATCCTACCGGAGGCTACAAATTGTTTTATATGAGTAGCAAGAGGATTGTGGTAAGTCGGGAAGTGATTGTGGACGAAATCCGGATGTTTGACAGCAAAATTTATACTGTTTCTGTACAGGAAATCGATTTACCAAATGAGGTAACCGATTTCCAGCCCGTGATAGAGCCCCCTGGTGCTGCTGGAAGTCAAAATTCAGGCCCAGAAATCGATTTCCTGGGAGGAAATATGAATTTCCAGCCTATTAATGATCCTGGACAGCAACCATTCGCAACGGAGGATGGTGAAACGAATAGACGACCAACGAGGCAGAGAGGTATGCCTCAAAGACTCCGAGATTGTGAGGTATTCCGTGATAGCGAGATCAATCATGATGGTGATCTCATCCATTTCGCTTTAATGGCCGAATCCGAACAAGTGAATACGAAGGAGGCATTAAGCGATCCAAAATGGATGAGTGCAATGAAGGATGAGCTAGAATCAATTGAGAAAACAATACTTGGATGTTGTTCGATTTACTAAAAGGTAAAAAGGCAATTGGTGTGAAATGGGTCTTCAAGGTGAAAGCAAATCCGAAAGGTGAGATAATCAGGCATAAGGCTCGATTAGTGGCAAAGGGATTTTTGCAAAAGGAAGGCATTGATTTTGATGAGGTATTTGCACCAGTTGCAAGGCATGAAACCATCCGGTTAGTTGTTGCAATTGCAAATACCAACAGTTGGCCGTTATATCAAATGGACGTCAAATCGGCATTTTTGAACGGTCTATTAAATGAAGAAGTGTATGTGGGACAGCCACCGGGTTTTGTTGTTCAAGACCAAGAGGCAAGAGTCTACAAGTTAAGCAAGGCACTCTATGGTTTGAAACAAGCTCCAAGAGCTTGGAACAAACACATAGATGGTTTTCTTAACGATATTGGTTCAAGAAATGCGTGTCCGAGCATGGGGTGTATGTGAAAACGGGTGCTAGCGAAGGGGGGATCGTTCTTTGTCTATATGTGGACGATTTGTTGATTACCGGAAGTTGTGAATCATACATTTCAAAGTTCAAGCAAGAGCTTATGAGGGAATTTGAAATGAGTGACCTTGGTGCTATGACATACTTCTTAGGCATAGAGTTCCAAAAGACAAAGTTGGGGATGCTCATGCATCAAAGAAGGTATGCAATGGAGATCTTGAAGAGATGTG